AGCATCTGCACAGCTTCCGAATGAGGTTTCTGGATCATTTGTTTAGTGAATTTAGTATTGTACGTGCATCTCAAAGGCTGCGGGTCTGTGTCTGCATTAGCCAAGACAAATTGTGTGAAAGCTCACAAGATAATGAATTCAATGCACCTTGGTAGTAATTCACTGTTCCAGTCCTGCATCTTTTCTTGAGCAGAAGCTGCCACGCACATATCAAGTGACACATGGGGTGAGGGAGGTTCACTCTTTTGTGTGAGGAGGGTGGTAGATGTGAGAAAATGTTCAAGTTGAGACCAGCTAACTCCTTACACCTGTTACCCACTACAGCTTTGAACTCAACTTCTCCCAAAGAGACAGTATAATGCAGTGATGGGCAACCTGCAGCCCACTGGGGTTCTGTGTGTGGTCTGCAAGACATTTTGTTTATTGTTACAGGGTTGCCAGATTCCACTGGTTTCTGTTTGTGTACGTTTTTTCCCTACCTGTAATGCTTAAATGACACATGTAAAGCCAGGGTTCATGTAGGGAAGTGCATGCTGACTGCACACAAAATTGACTGTAAGAACCACATGCTCCTTCTGCATCCAATCAAAGTGCTGCTATAGTACCATTGACACATCTCTTATCCCTGGAGACAGCCTTGGTTACGAAAATCTTGCAACCCACTGAGATGAAGGAGGGCCATTCATGTGGCCCACTCACTAACTTAGGTTGCCCATGGCTGGAGTATTATATTAACCCATATGCCCCGCATCTCTGTCACAGCAGCAGCCAATTGGTAATCAAAGCTAATAGAGCTGAGTAGATCATAGAAGTGCTTCCTACTTATCAGGACATGGTGTGTTTAAAGGGCTCAGCAATTGGAACAGCACAGCACTTTACTACCCACTACCACAGGCTACCCTGGACAAAACAGAAGTCTACCAAAGCGCTGTCCATGCTTGCTGACAATTCAGCTGTTCCCTGAAGCAGGTAACGGAGTTTTCTGAATGGAGCAGAGGTTCATGACCAAGAAGAGGGGTTAAGAGTGGATTTTAAAAAAGGAGAAGTAAAACGAGTCACTTGGTCACGCAGCCTCACAAGCTTTTGAAAACAAACACCAAAGAGCTGACTCAAGTCCTCAGAGCATCTGGCCTGGAATTCAAACGGACAGATATATTCCCCCCTTTCAAAACATTTTTTTTTACACTAGCCATCAGTAATCTCAGAGGATTTTCTTAGCTTTGTTTCCCTTCTTGTTTCCAGGAGACCGAACTACTGCTAGCTACTGCAAAAATGAGAAGCCAGAACGAAAGAGGGGCAGAGGAAACTGTCAGAAGACAAACCAAAAAGGGGACATAAAAACAGGTTCTCGCTTGCCAAAAAAATCCAAGACGTTTTCCCCTTTCAGCTCACACTGCCACTTGCCATACAACAAACCGCACAGATGTAAGTCAAGTTAAACTAATGCGGGCTTATTTCTCTTACACTCTTGTCAGCACAAGACCAGGGTGGCATAGGAGAGACCTTCCAAGAAACCAGATAAAGTACATCCCCCATCTATTCGGGCCTCCCCAAGCAAGACTGCTTTAATTGCATTTAGACCCTACACACAGACCTCTGGAATGGAATGAAAGCATCCCAGCCAACAAGAGCCAAACCAGAAAGAAAGCAAAACACATGCGCTATGCACTTGGGGCTAGAAGGCTCAGTGATAAGTTAAGAAGGCTCAGTAGGATCTGGGCTGGATTAAGGCAAAAGGCCGAGAATTCTGATTCCACAGTGAGAAGGACCAAGAGGCAGTCAGGCAAAGGAAGGGGAGCAAATGTCAGGACTAAACACAACCAACTGATATGGAGACCTGTTGAGGCAGATTGAGCTTCTTCTGTCAGGAGGAAGGTCAAGGGCTCAGCAGTCTGTTTTGGTCAGAAGTTAGTGTGGTGCTTCCAGTCTGATCTCTAATGAAAGTACAAAGCTGCTACATAAAAATTGGTCCCTTACTGGAAGAGCAGGGAATTTGCATCTCAGACCTGGGATATATCAGCACATTTGTACAGTGCTGAGTACACCACTGGAATATTTGGAGCGCAGGTGAATGCGTGCTGGAGGTGCAAGCCAGCTGCCTCATACATGGCTCTAGCTAGTGAAATCGATGTCCATTTGAAAGGCAACACCATTTGGCAAATTCAACCAAGCAAAAATAAGATCAAGATAGTGATGCCAGGCTCTCTGCCAATGGCCCAGAAGGGAGAAATCCCCTGGGAACAAGAATGGAAAGTAACAACAAAAAACTGAACTCGCAGTCCCAATTAGGTCTGCAGTCTATTCCCCTGGTGTGTTTTGAACTTATAACAAACCCTAGGGCAAGCTAGGAACAAATGATTGTCTTGACAGTGCCAAATCACATCAGCATCACAAAACAGCCAAGCTATTGCATGCAAACAGTGATGCAAATAAACCATTCACGTTGCTAAACACACAACTGGCCTAAGCATCTTGCTGAGGACCTATGGTGCTATTAACAAGTAAGAACAAGGAGTCCTATGCAAAGGCCTAAGAAACTGAATAACTTTTTAATTACCCAGAATAATCTCCACGTGTCCTTACACATCTGATAGAACAGAGAAGGCAGATTCTTGGCAAGCGTGAGCTTCTCACAGCAGATCACTAGTAACAAAATTAGTTTATTTTAAGCTGTAGAAGAGCCAAAAAAAAAAAAATCTGTGCTTGTGCGCCTCTCTCCCTCTCCCTCTGCGTGTGTAAGTAAAATATGGAATATTGGGGGGGCGGGAAATATGCAATGGAATCCATTTGCCTGGGTTCTGGGGGCTTTCGGATGAGGAACACAGATCTGTACTTGGATGCAGATCTCAAACGGCAGACAATTTAAAAACAAAAGAGCTCTTTTAAATAAATGAAACACACATTACAAGACTTAAACAGGTTCCAGAGCAACCCCAGGACTTCTGCCTCACAAGATGGCCTTTACACCATTAGAAGTCAGGCAATTTAGGTGCATTCAGCTGTGCATGCCCTCAGGCTGCCTCTTGCACCCAAGAAAAGCCCCTATGAAAGTTATTTTGCCTGTTTATATAGCAGCATATGCTTACAAGGTGTTTTACAACAGATAATGAGTGCTAAACACAGACTGGAATTCCAGTCCCCCAAGGGCTCCCAGCCATAAAGGGTATAAATGACAGACAGTACATGACAAAACAGTGGCTAGTGGTCATCACACGCATCTTATCTAGCAGAGACCAGTTCCCCAGCACATCTGGCTCTTGATGCGGCCCATACATAAAAATCAGAACTCCTACTATAAACATATTGTGTCCTACAAATTACACTGCTACACACCCATACCCTAAGCTTAAATATGCAGTTGCCAATGCCTAACAGGAAACTCTCGAGAGCAGGCAAGAACAGAAAAGAGAAAAATTCGGGTCAGGTCCACTTCCTCCACCTACTGCTTTAAGCAACAGTGACAGACAGAGGACTCAAATTTCATTGACTGCCTTTTGAATGTTCCAACATGGCATCTACAACGGCTTTTCCAAGTTCCTTCCATCAGCTTCACTCTCGGTCCCCTCCCCTGACTTACATGATCTTCTCTACACACAAATTGATCTCAAAGTATCCAATCACATCTTTCTGGCTAAATCTCAGGCTTCATCCTCCTTGGTACTGCTGTTGGGATCTGGCAATGTTTGCCGTTCCCGCCTTGAAATGTTTTCTTCATTTGGCTTTCATGACTCTACTTCAGGTGGCTCTTCTATTTCTGAGGCTCAAGTTTCTAGATACTGTTATCTCAGCAAGCCAAAACAGACAGTTGCCTGCCATAGAAGACTAACTATGCAAAACACAGCTCATCTACAACTATATGTCAAATTCTAGCGAACAGAGATCAGAGGCATTAGAAACGTGTGGGATGATTATCAAATGATGGGCTAAAATTTCAATGGAATCAGGGATTCGGTAACTACTGTTCTGCCCTAATGGGTCAACCTATATAGCAGAGGAACCACTCGTACTAGAAAATACTAAGTATTCTACGTTCCCAAGGCATAACATTCAGGGATATCCTCTGCTGATTTTGTCTGTCATTGCTCTGCTCCAGAGTACTCCATTGCAAAATTATCAATATTACTAGTGCTAAGAGTCAATACTTAATCTGGATTCTTCAGCCTCAACAACAATAACTTTATATTCCATTTAAATTGACTGGGCCTCTTGTGACCAGTAAGACAAGATAAAAGCTGCTTTATTGGGAAAATATTCATAAACAAAATAGGCCAGCCCAGTGCTCTTGGGTAATGTGCTTCCCAGGGGATCTGAGCTCAGCTTCTCAGGAGATGTGAAGGCAGAATGCACAATCCCTTGGTGCAGAAGAAGAAAATGTCTCATTACTTTTGAGCAACCTACTGTAACCAATCTTGCAAGTAGCATTTGTAGGCTCCTGAGAGAGACAACCTCCTTCTTATCAGGGTAATACTACAAGGTGGCCGAGGGGCGATAAGGAGAAAGGAGGGTGTGTGTGTGTGTGTGTGTATTCCATAGGATGTTTGTACTGAAGCTACCAGAATAGTCAGACTGGATTTCTCTCTCCACATCTGGGCGAAGAGCACAATGCCAGCCACCACAGAACACATGCAAGAGGGTTATTCTGTGCTACAGTTGCCTCTCTTAGCATCACCATCAGAATTGAATGTACCTCTGGGTAATGGGCATGTTCAGCACACCAGAAAATCTAATTAAAAAACACAGGGCTTTTAACATTTAGCTGAAAGCATGAAGAGCAAGAGCTGAAAAGAATCTCATTAAAAGATGACAGCAAAAATGCAATCCCTCTAACAAGATATTAAACCAACATTGCCGAGAGGAGTCATCCTTCTGTGTTAGGAGACTACTTAGCGACAATTAACAGCCTCCCCATCAAAGACCATATTTGATCCATCAATGTAAAGATACAGTATGCATCAGCCAGGGTTAAGCTAAGGCCTTTAATGACGTGCTCAGTGACTCACCCTGCTGGATATGCGACAAGGCCGGTCCTGGGGTCGCAAGCTAATCCTCTGCCTCCGGACACAGTTATTCCTAACACTTTCTCCAAAGTCACCTAGTGCAGAAGGAAAACAGAAAGAGTCATGAGCGGCACTCACAAATGGGTTCGTCCATGAGTACCAACGGATTAGTTCATACTGGCAATCAGAAATGTGGTTCCCAGAGGGCAGTGAAGAAAACATCAAGAGTCACTCAGGCAACATCTAGCGGAAGACTACTGCCACTTGTAGGGATGCCAAGGGAGACTTGTAGCTAGCATAAATGGGTTTGGAAATGCAAACATCCCACTCTGTAAGTTGTAGCTTGAAATACCTGCTTTTTCCAGATGAGGAGATTGGCTTTTGGAAAGGAAAGAGACAGACCAGGAAATCGTCACTTGAAGACTTTATGAACCCACCACCAAGCCTTTTCCTTTTGCAGAACCTCCTCTTTGGGGTTCTGAAGCATGCAGAGAGCTTTCGCATTTCTGCCCCTCCCCATTCCACATCCTCTAATTATTTCCACACGCCTTTGTACTCCCAGGTCCCCACTGGGACTAAAACAAAAGCTGGCAAAGGTCTCCAGTCCAGATGGTGTTGACTCGAGAAGTTCCTGAGGAGGTATTCAAACTTGGGGATTCACTAAGGGTCTGTTTTTGCCTGAGGCACACAGCAACTTGCCCAAGTCATAATGGGTCATGCAGAATAGAACCCAGGATCCAACCGGGCCTCATTCCTGCATCCTAACCGTTACACAAGTATTTCTCAACTTTCTCACAGTGGTGACCCCTTATTTGAAGTCAGACATTCATAGGATCCTTTCTTACATTTTTCTATAAAAGTGTATCCATGATAACAATGATAATTCTACATAATAACTCCTTTGACTGATATTACTGCATTTAACCTCCCAAACTATGGAAGTTTTGACAGCCCAGAATTAATCTGAAAATTTGATATTCTTTACTTTAGAATTGTAATGAACTTTTCAATACTTCGTAACCTTTACAACTGCATTTTGTAACCCTCCCTCAGGGGGTGGTGACGACTCAGTTGAGAAATATGGCATATTAGATCTTAAATACAGTTTCCCTCATAGAAATCTGTTTTAAAGTGAATTTCATGCTTGTTAGGGATTAGAATCATAGAATACTAGAACTGGAAGGGACCTCAAGAGATCATCAAGCCCAATCCCCTGCCCTCACAGCAGGACCAAGCACCATCAGACCATCCCTGACAGGTGTCTGTCTAACCTGCTCTTACATATCTACAATGATGGAGATTCCACAACCTCCCTAGGTAATTTATTCCAGTGTTTAACCACCCCATAGGTTGGACATTAGGAAAAACTTCCGAACTAAACCTCGCTTGCTGCAACTTGAGCCCATTGCTTCTTGTCCTATCCTCAGAGGCCAAGGAGAACATTTTTTCTCCCTCCTCCTTGTGACGCCCTTTTTAGATACTGTTATCATGAAAACTGCTATCATGTTCCTCTCAGTCTTCTCTTTTCTGAACTAAACAAGTTAAATTCTTTCAGTTTTCCCTCATAGCTCATGTTCTCTAGACCTTTAATCATTTTTGTTGCTCTTCTCTGGACCTTCTCTAAATCTTTCTTGAAATGCGGTGCCCAGAACTGGACACAATACTCCAACTGAGGCCTAACCAGCGCAGAGTAGAGTGGAAGAATGACTTCTCGTGTCTTGCTCACAACACTCCTGTTAATGCAGCCCAGAATCACGTTTGCTTTTTTTGCAATAGTGTCACACTGTTGATTCGTATTTAGTTTGTGGTCCACTAAGACCCCAGATCCCTTTCTGCTGTATTCCTGAGTAACAGTTTTAAAATGTTATCCATGTAATCAAATACAATTCAATTGGTTACACAATTAAATGCTGCCTGCCGTGCTGGACCTGGGAGCAGCAAGCACTTTGGGCTCCCGGCCCTGCAGGCGGTAGGTGCCAGATGCCTCAGGCTCCCAGTACCAACAGCCCATGGGCATTTAACTGGTAACTGGAACCAATAAGCATCAGCTTATCAGTTAATTGATTAAACTCTTACATCCCTCATGCTTGTGAGGGCAAAGTGACACTGGGCCTTCTCAGTCCAGAGAGTGATCAATCTCCCGAGGGTTGATTTAGCAGTTCTAGTAAGGACCCTCTAAACCAACCGCTGATCACACCCCTGTTGACACCGGTACTCTACTGGGTCACGAAGAGTAAGGGAAGTCAGTGGAAGAGGTTCTCCCATCAACCTCCCACAGGGGGAACATCACAGAAATTTGATCTTAGGTACATCAACTCCAGCTACGCTATTCTTGTAGCTGGAATTGCGTATCTTAGGTTGACTTTCTCCGGTAGTACAGACCTGGCGTAGAAAACCCTTCCACTAAACTTAAGCCTGCTGTCCTGCCTGGTGTTCTTTCTCCTGACTGAGGCACAAAATCATTCTCTTTCATTTACAGTTCATGCAGTATGGTTTTATTTATTGTATGTTACATTCACGTGTTTTCCCCAGCACCGCCAGCCCTGCCAATTCTTGACTTTGTTGGGTCATGTTGTCTTCTGGTTTTGATTAACATGGTTTGAGTTATATTTTGTTAAATATCCAGAAGCCTTCAGGCATGGGCGCCACATAAAAAGTTATTATTGCAACGATTGCTATGATTATTAATAGCTTCCCAAGAGACTAAAGTCTTGTGCTCATCCAGACAACAAGGTGCTCAACAACAGAGGTAGGGTAAGTTGTCCAGTGCCAATGTTTTCCAACACACAGAACTGAAGGAATTGCCTGTATGGTGGAGAAGACTGGTCTCTTTATCCTTGAGTTCTCTGCTCTGGTTGCTAGAGAGGGTGCCAACAGTAATGGTGGGATTTGTGATACAGCTACACCTTCCACAAAGAACTGGACTGACATCCCACCGACTCATTTCACACAGGCCACCAAAAGGGAGCAGTTCAATAACTCACAGCTTTCCCTGTGTTCAAGCGGGTGACCAAAAGATGGAATATTTCATATTCCAATCCCCACAACCATTCTGTTCCCATTCTTGGAAAATGAGTCTCTCTTTGGAAATGTGGCTTTTACAAAACTGCAACTAAATATGGTTACTGAATAAGAGCACATTATTAAAAATGCATCTATAAATCCACTAGCAAAGCAAGAAAATAGCTTTGCTCCAATTCCATTTTCCTATTTTTTAAAGAAAATGATGCCTGTGCTTTATTCAGATTTCTTATAGTTGCTTCAAAATACATGGCAAAATGCATTTTAAATTTCTGACTGGAAAGTAATTACTCCCACACACAGGAATCCAGCACTGAAGCTCAGATCCCCGTCTCTCTGCCCCTCCACTAACAGGGATTAAGATCCCTGAGCAGAACAATTCTCAGCCCCAGAGATGATGGCTGGAAACCCACTTACATCTCTCTCAAGTGATCCCATCCGGCCAACACTCCAGCTTTGTCTCGTTATGAAAATTACCCATTATTAATAACGGACATCAAGTGTGCAATCCAACATAGCACCAGGTGCAGTCCAAGCTGCTTTTAACCATGGTTTCCAAAAAGGCAGCCTATAGTCTATTCATCCACGGCTATGCTTGTGTTCTGCAGACACAGATGGTCAACAATGGGTAATTTTCCCAGGTTTTGGAGCAGTATGTTGATCACCTCTTCAAGAAACTATGTTCAGCTTCGTAGTCTGGGAAGCACGGAGCTGGAAAACTCTTCCCACTCCCAGCTTTGAAGGAAGAAGGAAAAAAAAAAAAGAAAAAAAAAGGAAAGAGGGGTACTTAAAGGGCCTGTTTGGCCACCATCAGCTCTCACTCTGCCCTGTATCTCCACCAACCCTCGCTCCCACACAGCCCTCTAGCATCACACTGCACTTCTTCAGGTCTTCCTCCTCCACGTGGAGTGCTGCAGGCAGCTGTGTAACATGTGTCAGGCTTGAAAATATTTGCAGGCAATCAACGTCCCTTTTGCCCTGCAGCAAGATCCAGACACAAAGGGAACGCCCAGTCTACATGTGCCCATAACATTATTTTCCTGCTGGAGAGCATCTTCTCCCCTCCAGCTGATCATACACACAGCTCTGCACCTTGCTGTATGACAGCATAACTAAAACTGAGGGTGTGACAGTGGGTCTTTTCACCATTACATTTAGACCTAGTGCTACAAGAGGAGCGTCCTGTGAAGCATTGTGCAGATTTTCAAGGCTCCATAATTAGCTGCTTTTTAAAAACTGACTGCTCACATCTCACCTCCCAGCTCAGATCCAATGCCTTTGCATCTAGGATGTTTGCTGCCATGACTATGACTTACATGGCAAGAATTTATGAACTCGTTTAACAAGCAGGGCCTTCCAGATTTTACTCAGCTGTAACCTTTCCTTTTTCAGCTTCATTTATTGCAGCACTCCACTCTCTCTCAGCCAAAAAGAAGCCTGCAGTCACCTGTCTCCAAGTCCCAATCACAGTGGGCACAAGGTGAACCTAAGGTAGAAGAGTGTGGTGGGGGGACTGCAGAATTAGGGTATAATTTTCCCAAGAGTCCTTGAATGACCTCCCATTTTGCACCCACATGTCATTTAGACATGTTAGTCCTTGTGGGCACCATCAGGTAGTGGATTCCTGAACCTGCAGATAATTACAAGACTTAGTTGCATAGCTGTGTCTGCAATAATCTGCCCTCAAACAAGAGCCACAAAGGGAAGAGGCCACATTTTAGAACACTGGCCCTTTCAGTCATTATGTCATATTGTGGAGTTCTATGAATAATACTTTGCAATCCTTGGATGGAAATGCCAAGTGCTTTGTAAGTGTTATTGAATTTAGCCACATGCAACGTTCTCATAGAGTTCAGGGTAGATTACACGCATGCTCGAGAGACAAAGAGTACAGTTTTTTCAAGTCTGGTGCCTAAAATTGCGCACCCACCTCCACATTTAGGCACCTTAAAACAGTGGCCAGGTTGTCAGATGTACTGAGCACTTCTCACTTCATTGGGGAATTGCAGGAGCTCAGTACGTCTGAAATTAGCCCACTTTTTTTAGGAGCCAAAATACAGATTTAGGTGCCATT